CAGAGAGAGCACCACTATTTCTGAGGACCAGACAGAGCACCACTATTTCTGAGGACCAAACAGAGCACCACTATTTCTGAGGACCAGAGAGAGCACCACTATTTCTGAGGACCAGACAGAGCACCACTATTTCTGAGGACCAAACAGAGCACCACTATTTCTGAGGACCAGAGAGAGCACCACTATTTCTGAGGACCAGACAGAGCACCACTATTTCTGATGACCAGACAGAGCACCACTATTTCTGATGACCAGACAGAGCACCACTATTTCTGAGGACCAGAAAGAGAACCACTATTTCTGAGGACCAAACAGAGCACCATTATTTCTTCTGTGGACAGTGAATGATCGGAAGCAGATGATATGTTCTGTTGAGTTATGTGTCACCTTTTTCTGTACTGACTGTGGAATAAAAACATTTTGAAAATTATTAAGTACTTGACTCTGTTTGTGTTGTTCTGACAGTGCAAGTTGATAGAGGTGGTGTAAGGGTGTGAGAATGTTTTCTTGTAGGTGTTAGGTTCTTTGATTCCTAGTGGGCTTTGTGCGTGTCCTGTTCGCTAGGACACTCGACTCGCAATCTGCGTGTCTCAGGTTTGAATCCTTGTTACTGAATACATTCATTCTTTCAGCTGCAGGGAAATTATAATGTGATAGTCAATCCCACTATTCGTTGGTAAAAGAGTAGTCCAAGAGCTTGCGGTGAGTGGTGTTGACTAGCTACCTTCTCTCTAGTCTGTCACTGCAAAATTTATGGCCAGCTAGCTCAGATAGCCTTGGAAATAGTTTTACACAAAATTCAAACCTAACTAGTAACAAACAGCACTGAGAGCTTACATGACAACCATATTTACCCCATAATGATCTATCTCCCCCCCCCCCCCTAATGGTCATTGGCCCTTCTAGATGACAATGCGACAGTACACTAATTATATAAAATGAGCTTTAAGAGCATGACGTTGAGTTATTTTCTTTGGCTAGCACATTTATTGTATCTTAGTCTGATAGAGCATTTTTGGGATGAACTTTGCATTTGCTACTGCTTCCTTTACCAACTTCTGTGAATCAGTTGTAGATCATATTTCTTAACAAGCACACTATTGCATAGGAAGGCTGGGTCATTTTTATGTCAGAGGGTGGTCCAATTCTACATTTGGGAGGGGTCCTTATAAAAAAAACCAAAAAAAACCAGCAAAATCAGTATATAAACTTACATTAAGTAAGGGATCTTCTCCAAATTGAATACCTCAGCACTAAAAGTATGACCAGCGTAATACAGAATTGCCACGAGATAGAGCGACATGTTATTGACTGTATTGATTTTAAGCAGTTTTGTAGTGGCCAAAAGCTATTTAAGTAGTAAACAAAATTAATACTATAAATATTCTGGAGGTGTAAGATTTTTGTTCTATTAAAAGTTAAGTTGATTAAAATATATCTTTAGAAATGATGATATGAAAGAATCAGCAGAACTTTCAAGTTAAGAATTAACTTTCTTCCAGTTCTTCTTTGGCGTCTTGGCTTCAGTTTTTTCCTTACGAAATCATTCAGAAGTTTCCGGCAAACCTTGCAATTCTCGTGACTGCTGCCAGGAAGCTTGCAAGTAGAGGTGTTCCAGATTTCTTGTTGGGTCTTCAAGATTGTGAGGTACAAATTATTGGTAAGTACATGTACAATTTGTTTCACTCAGAGCAAACAGTTGGTATTTGATATTCGTCGTGTGTTTGCCTTTGTGGATATTAGTTTAAGCCGTTTCTTTGATAAGTTAACTGTATGACTTTTTAGATTAGTTGTGTACCAAAATGTGGCGTTTTCTGTTTGATTCCATAGTAACTAAATTTTCAAGGCTGTAGTGTAAGTACACTAGCCCTGAGAGACATCCCATTATTTTTTTTTTTTTTTTGCTTTATATATGTTTTTATTGGTTGATTATTTCGAAATCCTCGACACCAGTAGTATTTTCCTACCTCATGTTGTGTAAACCAAAGCAAAGAACAAAGCTAATAAATATTCAAACTTAAATATTAATTGTTATAACATTTCTCCTGAACTTTCTCCTAAAAATTAATGTACTGGCTTGTGTTTCTTATAATGAAAACAAGTGAACAGTAAAATAAAATAACCCCAGAATTATGTTGTAGAAACCAATTAAATTACAATAATTCTTGTTTTCCGAACTCGTACAATAATAATGATATAATAATTATGGTGCAACTGATTTTATAATCCTTTAAAATTGTAGTTTGTCTGGAACAAGTAATAGAAACGGAGTCGAATATCTTCGTTTATCTAATGTTATTTGTCTGTTAGCTTAATAGAAGATAATCTTTTAGTCAAACTTTTGAGTATGAAATTTACAAGAGGCCCTACATGATACTGTATTTTTTAAATAGGTTAATCTGCATTTTAGGTACAAGTGATAGTAATTTTTATATTTTTATTTCATTCATTATTTTCAGTGTGTTTTGTATTGTTTATATTTTATTTAGACAAAATGGATGGTAAACAGGTTTTTAAGATTAATAAGCACTGCTGTTACGTATCTGAAAGTTCAAATGATAAAACTTCGTGTTCCACTCTGTTGATTTGGCTTCTTGCAATATCCGAGAAGTTTATGCTAAAAAATTAATGTTTTAATAATCAAATTATAACTGAGGGACCTGCATTTCTCGGTAGGCTTAATTCAGGTAACTGTATTGTTAATGGATTCTAATGTAGTGTGTTAGTGCATATGAAACACGCATATAGCATGTTCAAACTGTATAACTTCATAGTACCGTAGTTGTTTTGTTTTAACCTCTTCTCCTGAGACTACAGATCAGAGTTAGTGGTGTATTTCAGTTTACAGACATTCGAGTGATACTTTGTTACCTACTCTTAACCTGTTCTGTCTGGTTTGATTATCATGCAAGTGATAAAACATTTCAGTCTCAGAAATCAGTAACTTTGATTAAACTGTTCTTTTAAATGCTTTTTCTACTTATAGAGCACGGCGTTAAAACCTAATGCATGAGAAACTAAAATGTAAGCAGTATGAAACTTATTATATAAAACAACTATATACAGCCGTTGCCTCTAAAGTACGTAAAATAATCTGGGAGTTTATCATAAATTAAAAGGAATTTGTTATCAATACACCGACACGCAGTTAATATAATGTTGAGTTCAACTGTTATGCCAAAAAATAAACAGATGTCAATAAAAGAAAGTTGATTTAAGAGTCTCTCTTAAGTTTATCACTTTTATTTTCCACGTCTGAACGTAGGCTGTAGTGATGGAGCTAATTATTGGTGTTTATCTTCGTGTATAATTTTATTATTTTACCTTAATTTTATAAAAGTTTATGTATGTAGAACAGAATAGAATTGTTTCTTTTGCACAAACAAATTACTTGTACTAGTCTTGCACATTTTAATAATATGTAATTTTTGACATCTTATAAAGTTGAGGGAAAGTTTATAAAATATTTCTTTACTAACAATGTATTAAATATCGCCAATATTTATTGGTTTAGAAATGATCCGTGATCTTCCTGATGGTCCTGAACATTTGGTTATTCAACGCCATCTAGTAGAGCTTGTTTGTAAAATTCCTCAACTTTCACTAAACTCATTCCACCTTTTATCAGAAATATCTAGCCATAAACTGATCTGTGTGAAGAACCTTCTTTATCTCATCCAGATCCTCAACCAAAGGTTTGTTGGTGATCGAATTTTAAAAAAGATTTTAATGATGTAAATTCTAGGTAAGCTTGTTTTTAAATGCAATCATTTTTGAATTCATGGTTAAATTACTTTATTGTTATTTCTAGTAATTAAAATTAAAGGTGTCTCTTTTTTTTTTTTGGATGATGTAAACTGAATTTAAATTACTTTATTGTTATTTCTAGTAATTAAAATTAAAGGTGTCTCTTTTTTTTTTTTGGATGATGTAAACTGAATTTAAATTACTTTATTGTTATTTCTAGTAATTAAAATTAAAGGTGTCTCTTTTTTTTTTTGGTTGATGTAAACTGAATTTAAATTACTTTATTGTTATTTCTAGTAATTAAAATTAAAGGTCTCTCTCTCTCTT